CCGCTGACTTTGCCAGTCAGAAGGTCACAAAAGGGGATAACAGAGAAGAGATAATCAGAGTTGGAAGGGACCTTGTAGGTCATCTAGTCCAACCCCCTGCCCAAGCAAGAGACCCTACACCCGTGATAGGGAACCTATGGCACGTGTGCCACAGGTGGCACGCGGAGCCATTTGTGCTGGCACACGAGCTGCAGGCAAACTTACCACACTGCAGATGTGCGCGCCTCACAGCTGATTTTCGGCCAGTTTGAGTCCTTTTTTCGGCCTCTCAGAGTCTTGAGGAAGGCTTCTGCAGGCTTAGCAGGCCGAAAACTAGCCCTGTTTCATCATTCCCGGTATTTTCGTAAAAACAGGAAGTGACGAAAGGGGCTAGTTTTCGGCTAAAAAGCTTGCCAAAGCCTGCAGAAGCCTTCCTCAAGCCTTTGGGAGGCCGAAAAAGGCCTCAACCAGCCAAAAATCAGCACAGTGCACATAAGGGGGGGGCGGGGAGTAGGTGGTGGATTGCGCATGTATGCGTAGGTGGCGTGGGGGTGGCGCGCATCGCCTTCTGGGCAGAGGAGGCCCAAAAGATTAGCCATCACTGCCCAACACCATTTCTGACATATGGGAGTCCAATCTCTTCTTGAAAGTCTCAAGTGATTATGTGATCCTGGGGGCGACCGTCATAAATATGAGTCAGTTGCCAAGCGTTTGAATACATTTTTTTTTCATTTTTAGTTATTTTTTTATTATATATTAATTGCCAAGTGTCTGAATTTTGACCACAGGACCATAAGGGAGGCCACAACAGTCGTACGGGCTGAAAAAAAAAAAAAAGATCCTAAATTCCATTGTAAGTTCGAGCAATCAGCAAAAAAAAAAATGGTTGTAAGTAGAGGACCACGCTAAAACTAAGCGGTTTCAAAAGTCAAAGAGAAGTGCCGGTCTTTTGTAATTTTGTGCAAAAACGTAGTGACTCATTAACACTAAGTTGCTTGCCGGTTTCGGGAGGTGAGAATTTTTTTTTTAAAAAACGTACAGGCGAATGAATGAGTTTGGCAAAAGCGCCGCTCACCGTGGATTCAATCCGCTGAGTGAAATTTTTTACTCTAACCAAGTTTTTTTTTAATCAGAAGGGAATATTCTCACCCTATTTATGTTGGAATATTTGATGTGTTGGCCTGGAGGTGGAGTTCTCGCCTCCAATCAGGAGGCTGGGCGTTGGATCCTAGGTAGAGGCAGGTATTTCTCTCTTGTGTTCTGACCCAAACCTTGTTCCAAGGAAGCAAACACCAAACAGAGATAAAAGCAAAACCTTTTAATGCTTCTCTGCAAATTCCATTCATTCACGGTTAAAAGGCTATTAAAACTAATGGTCTCTGGTAAGAACTAGCCTTGCCAAGGTGCTGCCAAAAGCACTAGATTAAGTTGCCAAGAAATATTTCAAACACAAAGAGTCGCCAAACACCAACCAAGATATTCCGAACTTCCAGAAGGCTTGAAGTGCAAGAACTTTGCTTCCTGCAAAGAACTATCGTTTCTCAGCTGGCTTTTATCTCTTAAGGGAGGGGCCATTTCCTTGCAGCCTTACTCCTGAGTCGCCCGTGCTGCTGCAGCTGCTCTTTCCTACGAGCAGCCCTGTGCACACACGTGCTGAGCACAGGCTCCTCAGGCTCCTCTTCCTCACTGCTGCCAGCCTCCACAATCTCCGAAGGCAGCACTCCACTCCCTGAATGGTCCTGGCCCCATCCCTGCATCCCACACGCAGGCCCCTCATCTGAGTCCTCGCTCTCCAAGACCTCACCTGTCTGCACCTGCTGCCGGCGAACCGCAACACTCTGGGCACGATGAGAATGTGTCTGCTGAATGAAACTCCGCATTGGTGACAGGAAGGGCATCCGGGCCAGTAAACACTCAGCTCCATTCAGTTTTCCAGACTGCACCCCTCAAGAGATTATGGGGGTCAGTAAAAGAAGATGCTGATTTATGTTGGAATTTTTAATTTCCCATTTGCAGATTCCTTCTACCAGTTTCTGGGTGGGATTTAGACCATTAAAACCAATCAGAGCGGAGCTTGAAGGGACCTTGGTGGTCTTCTAGTCCATCCCCCTGCTCAAGCAGGAGACCCTATACTTTTTTTTTCAGACAAGGTTGCAATAGGATGCCTAAGACCCATGCTTCTGCAGGAAGTTCTCGACTTACGACCTACAATGGAGCCTGAAATTTCTATGGCTAAACGGAACACTTGCTAAATGAGATTTCCTCCACATTTTACAACTGTGATTCTTGCTACAATTGTTAAGTGAATTGCTGCAGTTAGTAACATGGTTGATAAGAGAACTTTGGCCTCCCCATTGCTTGTCGGAAGGCCGTAAAAAATAATAATTACATGACTACAGGAGACTGCAGCCATCATAAATAGGAGTCAGTTGCCAAAGCATTGGACTCTGACTCGGAGGAGGAAGCAGAACAGTTGACAGGGGGTGGGAGTGTGGCTCCGTTGGCTGTGGACAAAACTGGGGAAGGGCAAAGTCCGGCTGGGCAGAGCAGGGGAGAGGTAGAACAAGGGAGAGGGAGTTCAGAGGTAGACCCAGGCCCACCCCCTCTTCAACCCAGGGCACGCAGGGAGGAACGGAGAAGGGAGCAACATGGGTTGCATGGCTTACGGGGGAGGAAAGGGCCCTGATTCCCTTCATTAGCTGCAGTTGGGAACACAGTGTATAAAAAAGGCAAACTATGTGCAGCAGGCTGTTGGGAGCAAAAGTGAGTTTTATCTTGTATCGTGGAGGCTTATCTGTGTTCCTGGCATCTTCCCAACAGTGTGAGTTTTGCCGTGCTTTTAAGTTTGAAATTCCTGCTCCTGCCCTGCCAAACTAATTACTTCAGTTTGGTCTGTTTGGATTTGAAGTTACAGTTTGTGTGTACAGCTGTGTGAAGAAGTCCTGCACACATTCACTTTGAAGCTGTATTTACACGTTTAATCAACTTTTCACTCATAGAGACCATGCAAAATTAGTACTTCTGATGAAAATTTCTGTAGTCAGATTGAGATGCATAATTTTTATTAATATAACCAAGGTCTTTTTAAAGGTTTTGAGTGAGTTTATGTGCTAAAACAAACACAACTTGAATTTTCGAGCATGTTAGGATCGAAAGTAGCCAATCGGCAGCGGGCTGTGGCTGACCAATCAAAATGCCCAGAGGCTAAATCTATGAGCCAATCAATGCTGTCATACTCTCTGACTATAAATAGGCATGAAAAGCATTGGGAAATTTAATATAACTCTGGCTGCGGGCAAGGATGAAGGCCTTTGCTTTCACCAGCACTGAGCAGCGGCATCGCATCATTGTGCTTCATGAGGAGAAAGGTTACTCCTGTACCGAAATAGCCAAGAGAGTGAAATGCCATCGCACCACAGTGAGCAGTGAGGTTGAAAAATACCAAATAAGTGGTTCTAGTTGATGACAGGCTCTGTTCTGGAAGACCAAGGAAGTCAACAAAACAGCAAGATCGGGCTCTGCAATGCGTTTCGATGGCTGACAGGAAGCTCACCTCACCTCAGATTACAAGAATTTGGGGTGAAACCTGTGCTGTAAAAGCGTGCACAAGCACAGTGCGTCGCAGGCTGCTTGCCAGGGGGCCAAAAGGCTGCAGGGCTCCAAGTAAACCTTTGCGCGCAGACTCTCACCGCTCTCGTCGACGTGCATGGGCCAAGAAGTAAGCCAAGTGGACCCATGAAGAGTGGGCCAAGGTCATCTTCCGTGACAAGAGCAATTTCTACTTGACTGGGAATCAGTGCAATAAGTATGTCAGAAGATTTCCAGCCGAAGAATTTAGGCCGTACTGCATGAATCTATCTGTGAAGCATCCATTGCACGTGATGATCTCAGGCTGTATTGCTACAAATTGTACAGGGAATCGTGAATTCCAAGCAGTTATATTGAAGTCCTGGAAAAAAAAAAACCATCCTTCCTTCAGCTCAGCGACTTGTAGGGAAGGCCTTTTACTTCCAGGATGACAACGCTCCTTGTCATCGAGCCAAATCCACCCAGCAGTGGATGAAGAAGCATATGGTGTTCGACTCCTGGATTGGCCAGCTCACAGCCCGGATTTGAACCCAACTGGGAACTTGTGGGCCAAGATTAGTTACGAAATAAGCCAGAAGCATCCAGAGACCAAACAGGAGCTGACTGAATCCATTATTGCAGCCTGGCACCACATTGTCACCAAAGATCACGTGCAAAGGCTTATGCAGTCTATGCTGAAGCGATGCCAGCTGGTGATAAGCACTAAGGGCTGGCCAATTTTGTATTAGTAACCATGTTTGGTTACCTAAATGGTCCTTTTCAGGGCTACAAACAATAAAAATGTTAACAAAACACTAGCATCGGCCTTAGTAATTGCAACACGTATGCATCAGTTAATCTGTTTTCTTATGCATTGTGAGCGTGCAAGAAAATTCACAGCCCCCATCCGAACAGCACCAAATTGCAAAAAGCTTATGTTTTTCACTTAAAAACTACCAGTATTTATTTAAATATAACAATATTTGCATAGCATAAAATATCCTAAAATCAATGGCCTAATCCAAAAAAATGTCATACACTGTAAACCGTAACGCGTGCAGGACTTTTTCACACCGCTGTACCTTGTTTTGGACTGAATTTCCTGCCATCAAAGGCTGTTCTTGGGAGAGTTTATCTCCAAAGGTAGACTGGACATTGGGGGCAAAGCTGGAGATAGGGACTCCTACGCCCCTTTGGGTCATCCACAGCATCTGAATTTTGATCACTTGATGGGAAAGCTGCAATGGTTGTACGTGTGAAAAACTGTCAGTCACTGTTTTCAGTGCCTTTGTAACGTGGGAAACAGCCGCTAAACGAAAGGTGGCAATTCCCGTGTCTTTACGTTTCAGTAAAACATCAAAAGAAAAGGTATTTAACACTCCTGGTATTAAATGTTCTTTTGGATCTCAACAAGAAGTTCTTCATTCTGACTATAGTGTTGGTTCTCCTTACAGAGGTGGAGACAGAGAAATTGGCCCGCACCGTGTTCACCAAGCTTCACGATATCTGCAGCGCCTGGGTGAAGGATTTCCCGCTGCAGACGAAGCCGTTTCGTTACTACGAGACATCGATCCACGCCATTAAGAACATGCGACGCAAGATGGAAGACAAACACGTCTGCATTCCAGACTTCAACACCCTCTTCAACCTGGAGGTAAAAAAAAAACCCTAGGTAGCCAGAATCAAGGGTGGATTTGATTTCAATCGATTTCAATCACTCGATTTAAATAGGTGTGATTTAAATCAACCCGATTTAAGTCACATTTTTTAAAGAGCCACTGTCCTCTCCACTGGGAAAGTGTGTGAATGCATGAAGGCAGTTATCTTAAGTTTGCAGAGCTCGGATTCATTGAATGAGTTTACCATAAAATGTAAATATTGCAGAATCTACAACAGGGGTCCCTAAACTTGGCAACTTTAAGACTTGTGGACTTCAACTCTGGGAGTTGAAGTCCACGAGTCTTAAAGCTGCCAAGTTTGGAGATCTATGATCTACAGCCTCGTGCTATCTAATTTAAGCTCCCTTTCGTGAATAAACTAATATTAACTAAATGAATAAACTAAATTATTAATGTATCTTAAATAGAAAACTATCTTTAGATTTACTTTTGATAGATTTTATTAAAATAAATTTGATCCAAAAAAACAATCTGATTTAAATTTTAAAAAATACATTAATTTTGTTTAAAAAATAACCATCAATTTTTATCGACCCTGGGTAGAATCCAGATAGGTGCCAAGAAAGTGTTTTTCATTGCCTAACTGCAATGAAAAACACTCTCTTGGCACCCATATATATATATATATGTGGAGTTCCTATATATGTGGAGTTCCTTCATTCATAT